CTGCTCCGTCTGGCTGTTGACTGGCCGCTAGGTCTACTGTCATACGGAACTTATCCTTGGCATGGGGCTTGCGTTCGATCAAAGGTGCACACGCCCTTCGGCTGGTAGGGTTTCGATGGGTGAAACTAGCCTTCTCTAGCTCTTCCACATGCTTCTGCATGAACTCGCGTTGAGTGCGAGGGTTGCGTCTCGCCTCGCAGCGAACAGGCTTGGAGATCTTGGTGAGGTGCACCTTTAAGGGGGGCATGTCCACTGGTGGATCGTGGCCAAGCGTAAGCCGGAACACGTCCACATACTTGGCCAAGAGCTTGGATTGACCAAGGGCATACTCAGTACCACGGCCTGCTGTAATGGCTCCAGCCACCTTGGAATCCAAAATAACCTGAACATGGCTTGTTGCACAGCCGAGTCCACAGGTGTCATGTCAGGGAAACTTGCGGCTATCTCCATGGGCAGCAGTGCCTCTTCTTCATCGACCAGGTCATCTACCAGCTCTTGCTTGGTCGCCAGCATGACTGCCTTTACCACCCCACTGGTAGACTCCACGTTTTCCATGTCATACTCGCTGCTAACCGAGGCTGCATCGCGTAGCATGGACTTTGGGTCGTAGCCAAGCATGTACATAATTGGACGGCTCAGCAGGATGTCACCAACACCAGATGGCAGGTGATCAATAGAGTGCCAGCATTTGACGTTGGCTAGTACCAATGGTCCGACATCTGTCTCGAACTTGAGCATCAGCTTGACTTCCTGGGTTACTGTGTGGCTTGGAGCGACGAATCCACGCACAGAAACAGATGTTGGCAATTCTGTCAGCACCACGTCACCCGCCGTCTTCGAGCCTAAAAATAAAACCTATAACACCTTCACAACGTCAAACAATATTGAGTGTCTTTGACGGAATCACACTTTGGTCCGCTGTCAAACTAGGCGTTCATCTCTACCACTTGGTTGGTGGTACACAAAATTCTCGCAGTACACAAGACGGCCGTCGTTTCATTCGGGTCAACTGTCTTCACTCCCTTAGCAATGGTGACAGCCTTTCCAGGCCTTCCTTCCTTCTTGGTTTCGGCCCATATGACCTTGGCTCAGTCCATCAGCAAACGAGCCTCACCAGTTTCCACTTTGGGACTCTTGAACACATTGTGGTTGATGTTCAGACACTTTTAACACCTCCCATCATTTTGGGTGAAGTTTTCCACGGGCATATTGTCCACGTTGACCACAGCGACATCTTTGTCCCTTTTCTTCGGATGGCCCCGGTTTTCTTTGAGCTTCTTCTCTCTTTCCTTCACCTTTTCCGCCACCGGCTTAGGAGGCAGAGGGGCAGCTGGAACCAGAGGTTCGAACTCGCCGTATCGCAGCATGTATTTGGCAAGCCGATCGTGCATCCTTCTTGTACGCACGGTTCGCATGGAGCTTAATTAGTTGCAAAGCAGGTGGCGTGAGCCGCCATCAGGAAATCCACCGTCAGCTTGGGTGCAGTTTCGGCGAAAACTTCCATGTTCAGACGGCTAGGGCAGATTCAAAGTCGCTCATCAGTTTGAATACCCGCGATTCGGGTGAGATGATGGGCCCGTCCATTTTGAATTTCCCCATAGCCTGGTTGAGCTTGGTCATATCCACTGGGTCCCCGTTTCGGGCACTCAGGAAATAATCACGCCAATCTTCTTCGTTCAGCTCATGGCTCGGCTTGCCAATTTCCCAGAAAGCTATGCATTCCACCGCTAGTGGGTCGATACATGTTCTGGGTACCCAGAGCAGACTCAACCTTGCGAAAGGTCGGTTGGCTGGTGAGCTTGGGGGCCCAAATTCCAAGGATAGGGGCTACAGTAGTTGTAGTAGGCCCATTAAGTGCGGTTACTCACGGCTAGCCTTACTTCGGTGTGAGGGGCCGCGTGAACAGTAACTCAGTTTTAATTTTGCATTGCTTCCCGAAAGGTAGTCGTCTTGCGAACAAACAAGGCGCGGACTCATAACAATATATCTTCAGTGCACTACGAGTCCTGCAGCTGGACGAAATCCAGTACAAAGATGCCCGAAGCAGTCGTGCCGAGGGTGAACAAGACGGCTCGCGCTCTCCGCGAGGCGTAGACAATGATCGATCGCGCTCGCGTGAACGGGACCAAGACCCCCGTGGACATACGAGGGCTAGGCGTTTGGAGCGGTACCAGTTGGTAACCGCACCATTCCGTTCGCCCCAGAGCTCCCAACCACAGCCGATCGACATGGCGGTGCCTCGTTCCTGGTATAGCCAACCAGTTGGTGCTGGTCACCGCGAAGACCCCAGATTGGTGCCGTTGCCGCACGACGTCGAACACCAACCGGCTGCAAGTCAACTAGCTGGAGGGTCGTATGTTGATGCGCAGCAAGCCCAGCAAGAAGATGTGGACATGGGGTCAGACCAGCAGTACGTTTTCCACGCTCCGGTGATACTTCAAGCGCCAAACTTCAGCGGGTCAACTAAGCAAGAACGTCGTGCGTTTATGCGGGCATACCAGAAGTACGTAGCCCAAATCAACGCGCTGCAAACGTCGGGAACAAGACCGTTTGCTATGCCGTTATCGGCGTGTATGGACCGCTTCACCAAACGGCGCGTGGCTCTCTGGGACTTCGGTCGTCCCTACGACGAGATCTGGGAAAACGACTGGATCAGATGGAGCAACGGTGCTTTTCAAGAGGAGCCGCGTGACTTGGAAACGATGAAGAGACGGCTTGAGTCGGCTATCAGGTTTGACGTCAAGATCCTCGACGCTGAGTCGCGTGTGGGCAAGATGCTTGATGGGTTAATGCTAGCACTGGAATGTGACAACCAAGAGTGGGCGTTGTATGATGAGGGCAAGGATGTGGGTGACCTGATGGTCAAGGCAGTCAAGCCCTCGATGCTGCAGACAGCTGTGAAGAAGCAGATGCAGCTACAACGGAACAAGTCTTTACGGACGGATGTTTTCCGTTTTGTGCGCTGGCTGCGGACGTTCGCAGTCGGCTACCAAGTGTACGGCGGCGTGGAAGACGAAATGAAACCCGTCAAACCGACGCTGAACAGCGGCGAACTCCACAGGTCGTAGCCCAAGATGCAAGAGCCACCGAAGAAGGACGGTGCAGGCAAAATCTTCGGAAAGTCAAGTGGTGCTACGTCAACAAACGAGGTAAACGCAAAGAGAGGGAATTTTCTTAAGTGCAAGTCGGCGGACCACAAGGTAGCCAACTGCCCCAAGGCAGCGCCGGGTGAAGCTGAGGCGCTCATTCAAGCCCAAATCCAGGTCTGGAAAGAAGATCGTGGCAAACGCGCGAAAGCCAACGTGATCGACCTTAGCCGCGAGCGCAAGAAGATTGAAGGCGGCGCTGTGTTGTGTGACGCTGTCCCGGTGGACCAGTTGTTATTGGACACTGGTGCAAACGTCAACGTCGCGTCAGCTGCTGGTCTGATTAACGCCCTCAAGAAAACCAAGGCCGACGTTCAAGTAGTGGTGGACGATACACCAACTGCCCTGTATTCTTATGGGAAAACGTCAAACCCGGTGATGCTTAGCCGGCGGCTACTCCGCGGCTTGCCTGTTAGGATCGACGAGTCCGATGAAGACGTCGCTCTAATCCTTAGTCGACGAGTGATGGAAGCTCTTGGGTTCTCGACGGACGTATTGCTTGTCCAAGCCCGGACCAAAAAGCCCGAGTGGGACCTCAGTGACAGTAGTTTCCTACCCACGATGGGCGACGCCACGGTCCATCGCTTGCAAGCCCGGAGACCTGTTGTTGAAGACGGTGACCCTGACGACGGAATGCAGTGCGCGACACCAAAACTGGGCATTCAGGATGGTGAGACAACCGAGAAACGCCAGCAACGTCAACAGGTGGAGGTTGAAGCCATTTTAGCTACCAAAGTGGATGAAGCCAAGAGTCAAAGCCTCAGCCCAGCTGGTGTTATCGAACTGGAGACCTTTTTAGCCAAGTATGTCGATGTGTTCCGGACGGATGTTGGGGCGGAACCACCGATCAAGGTAGAGCCGCTAAAGGTGCACCTTAAGTCCGGTTCTGTTCCTGTCAAGTGCTCGATGCGGCGCTATCCACCTGAGCATGTGGAGTTCCTCAAGCGTCACGTTGACCAGCTTCAGGCAGCCGGCCTGATGTATCGAAATAACCGTGCCACGTGGGCTGCAGCGCCAAGAATCGTACCCAAGAAAGTCCCAGGCGGCTTGCGGATGATGATCGACAGCCGTCCCATCAATGCCTGTACGGTCCCGATGCCAAGGCCGATGCCGAACTTGGACGCTGCGATGGTCGTCCTGGTGGGTACAGGAGTGTACTTCACCTTGGACTCGACCAAGGGCTACTGGCAGCTACCGCTGCACCCCGACAGCCAGGCGTTATATTCGTTTATGACACCATGGGAAGACTATACCCCAACCCGAGTGTTGATGGGCCAGACGGATGCCATGGCGTTTTGCCAATCGGCTGTCCATCAAATGTTTGGTGAGCTGCTGTTCCGGGGATTGCTCGCCTGGCTTGACGATCGGTTGGGTGCCGCGGCTACGCCTGAGGCACAGCTGAATTTGCTGGAGCAAGTATTCGGAATATGTGAAGGCTATGGTGTCAAGCTCCACCCGAAGAAGTGTGCGTTCTTTCAACGTGAAGCCGAGTGGTGTGGCAAGGTGATTTCTGAAGCAATTGTAACCCACTCCCCTGCACGCGTTTAGGGACTCTGTGATTTGGCTGAGCCAACGACAGCGGTTGACCTTCAACAGTTCCTCTGCGCGACCAACTGGATGCGCGCAAGTATTCCTCAGTACAGTCAATTGGTGGATCCGTTGCGCCGCCTGTTGGAAGTGGGAATCAAGTTGGCAAATCGGCACTGATCAAGATCCCGGTCAGTGCCGTGGGGTGGGCTGCCGAGCACACAGAGTGCTTTGAGGCGGTGAAGAAAGCCCTGGCCGGAATCGTTCCTCTCTCCCATCCTCAAGCCGACAAGGTGGTGTGTCTCTTTGCCGACGCTAGCGTTGGCTTTTGGGGAGCCATTGCAACGCAAGTCCCTCCTGAAGACCTAGACCTCGAGATAGCCCAACAAAGCCATGAGCCGTTGGAGTTCCTCAGCGGCTCGTTTGTAGGGGCAAGCTCGATTTGGCCCATCGTGGAGAAGGAGGCTTAGGCCGTAGTTGAAGCGTGCAAGCGATTGGATTACCTGCTGGTGCGTCCAGGTGGCTTCCGTCTCTTAACAGACCACCGCAACCTGGTATATTTCTTCAATCCAAGGGGACAATGCCCGAATATAGCCAAAGAGAAAAGTGCCATCATCAAAATTTGGGCTGAAAAGAATTATAAACGATTTTTCGTCTGTAGGACGTAGAGAAAGACATCGAACGACACCCTGGCCTTGTCAGTACCAAAATTGTCTTCGAAGACATGCCTCGGGGCAAATGTCTCACCGACGAAGAGAAAGGACAAATTTCAGCCTTTCGCAAGCTTCAAAAGAGCTGTCGGTGGATTGCTGAAGCAATCCACCGAAGCGTGTGCGAACGTTTCTACAGAATTGCGTCTAATCTAGCCGCAAGAAAACCCCAAGAAGACGTTGTATCATCACCAGCCGCGAGTTCCGACGCATTTTCAGGCTTGCTACACGCACGCAATTGTCGTCAAGGCAAATTTCTGCAGCAGTAGGCGGTAAAGTAAGTCAAACTATTGTCCTTAATATGTTGCGTGCGTCCAAATTCGCAAAGTACATGAAACGCCGGTCCGGACCGCGAATAACACCCAAGCACAAAAAGACCGAGTCAATTTTGTCAGTCGAAACCTCCATAAGGGTGCGGAATTCAAAGCGGCTATGTTTATCGACGAAAAGAAGCTCAACCTAGACGGTCCAGACGGTTGTCAGTACTACTGACATGACCTCCGGCATAACGAACAAACTTACTCCAAGCGTGTGGGTGGCGGCGGTTCTGTTATGGTTTGGGGAGAGGTAAGCTTCTACAACAAGACGGAGCAAGCCACCCGAATGGTCGAAAAGACTCCGTGAAGTATCAAGAGACGCTGCAAACGTACCGGCTGCCAGTCATGCGTGAATTGGCGGTCCTTTCTGAACCGGCCACCCCTACGTTCCAACAAGACAATGCCAGTATCCACCGATCTCGCTCGACATTCGCCTACCTTGACGGCATGTCATGGCCAACCATGCAGTGGTCTGCAAAAAGTCTCGATTTGAGCCCAATCAAGAATGTTTGGGACGTTCTAGCTCGAAAAGTCTACGTCCATTTTCAATGGCCGTCAGTTTGAAACAAGGGCTGAATGAAGGTACAAATTCTCAAGTCTTGGGCTGAGATCGATCAATCATACTTGGCCAAGTTGGCTGAGGATATGCCTACAAGAATGGCCCAAACGATCCTTTGCCGCGGCAATTGCATTGATAAATAACCCTTAAAACTAAGTGCGTCTATAATTTCTTTTCAGCCCAAATTTGACGATGACTCTTTTCTCTTTACTGACATGGCTTCGTCCCAAATCCTTTTGTACCCTGTCGATTGAGAACGTGACTGCATGGATTACGTATCGGCTTTAACCGCCATCCTTACAGATATTTGAGAAGGTGAAAATTTTGGGGTGCGTCTATATTTCTTTTCAGACTGTAGTGCGACCATGTGAAAAACGGGTGGAATTTGTCGACTCAAACACGCTTGCGACTGGATAGGGGGGAACGTTATCTGCGACAGGCGTTCGCGCATTTTGTTGGAGCACGACTTGCGGTCTTTCTAGACGCAATTTGGCACGTCAAATGCCATTTACCTATGTTGCTACGAGTGACTGCAGGCGCGCCAATCCTTTGTTTCAAGGCGTCCTTACTCTCGAGACTAAGACGTACTGCGCACCCACTTCGATATACACATGATGTATCCGTACCAATAGTTTGGGTTTTGTATTGACCGCAGTATTTGTATAAACCGGCCAAACAAATCTATGTTTCGATTGGCCGAAAATATATTAAATTCTCTCGACATGTTTTCATCTCTCAGCAATATTAATATTCCAGAAAAAATCGCTCCTCCTTTCGAACCATCCCGACGACGTGTCAACCTGCCCACATGCGTCGCACATTGCGAAATCCAGTGGACAAGCATGCTAACGATGTCAACGCTCTCGACTATGTCGGTGGGCATGACTGCTGCCGGTGCAGCTGTGGGCGTCGGGGTTGCGGCGTCCCTGGCATTCGTGTACATATTTGTGGTGGCACCGGCCCGCAGCCCGCTCAACGTGATGCCCGGACCTCGGTCGACGCACTGGTTCTTCGGGAACATCCGAGACATCTTTGACATAATGTGGAAGCAAGGCAAGTTCCCTGAGCCGATATTGTCATGGTAATGTGCAATACCCTCCCCCGTTGACGTGTGGGCTCATCACGCCATGTGCGCAGGGTGAATCAGTACGGCGGCGTGTTTTACTACCGTGCAATGATGAGTGATCGAGTACGACATGCCGATGAGGCCACCACAACGGCTCGTCCCTTTCAACAACGCTGGCGTAGATTCTACTGACGGATCCTGTGGCCCTCAAGTACGTTGCGGTCACCAACAGCGACATCTACCCTCGCGACTTCGGCACCCGCACCATATTCCGGGTACGTTGTTCAATGCGGTGCACGATGGCTTCGATCTGTTCATTTGCGTCCATCCATTCGATTGAGCACTCGTTCATGGTTTCAGGACCTCATCGGCGGCGACGGATTGCTCTCCACCGAAGGCGCTACCCATGCTCAACAGCGCAAGATGCTGCAGCCGCTTTTTCGCCACGACAAAATCAAGTCGTTCCTGGGCATCTTTCAGCACCACGTACGGCGGCTCCAGGAGCACCACCTCCGCGCCGTCGAAGCGACCGACGCCCGGCCTGGTCAAGCGGTGAACCTGCATAAACGTACGTGCAACTTGAATTTCACTCGACGTGATCGTTCGTGTTTTACTGGATCGCGCATGGACTGATGAGTGGAGGTTTCGCAGTCTTCACCAAGCTCACGATGGACATCATTGGCGTGTCGGCCTTCAGCTACAACTTTGACGCCCTGGCACCGGTCGACCCGACAGCGACTGCCCCACGCGGCACGCATGGCAGCGCGTCCCAAATATCCGTGATGGAAGCGCTCGAGCTGCTTTTGACGCCGCCATCGCTGCTGTACGTTGTCGGGATTTTCTTCTTGCCGTTCTTTCCGCATTGGCCGCTACCGCCACAGAACCGGAGACGCCGCGCCCAACGCAAGCTCTTTCAAGTGGTCGATGCCGTGCTCGAGGCAAAGCTAGCACCATCACGACCGCCGCCGACGGCAGCGACGACTCCATCTACGTCGAGAAAGATGCTGGACCTTGTCGACCTCATGCTGGAAGAGTCCAACGATCCCAAGGTGTCGTTGGACGAGGCGCGGATGCACGTCATGACATTCATGTTGGCTGGCCACGAGGTACGTTTTGCAGAGTGCTTTTCCACGCGCCGCACACTCTCGAGTGTTGGCACAACTCGATGTCGTTCTGAGTCGTTGATTCTGCGTTGTGGTGTTGCAAGGTGGTGATTAGAACACGTTATCGTCGTAGACGACCAGCTCTATGTTGAGCTGGGTGTTTGCCGTGCTGGCCCAGCATCCTACCGAGGAAGCGAAAGCCCGCGCCGAGTGCCGACAAGTCCTGGCGGCCAACAACGATTCTTGGGACTGGAAAGCACTCGGTGAACTCAAGTACACGACGGCCGTGATCCACGAAGTGCTGCGTTTGTTTCCAACGGCAAGCCAGCTCTCCACGCGCGTATGTATCGAGGACAACTACATGCCCACGAGCGAGACGACGACTGCCGGCGATACCAAGACGTACTTCATTCCCAAGGTGCGTCGTCGATGGAATCGATGCGACGCTCCGTCGTTTTGTGGCCGTGTGGCGATCCTGAAAGGGTGCTTGACGGAGTGGCCTTGCCATGGCGGTGTGCTCTGATGGCCTCCTCGTGCGCCATTTCATGGGCTCGACGGTAATCGGTTATCGTTTATCGTGTAGGGCGCCACCGTGGTGGTGCATACAGGATCGCTCCATCGCAACCCAAAGTACTGGTCGCAACCGAACGAGTTCCTCCCAGGTAAGTGCCATCATCGTGAGCCGCAACTACTGACGCTTGTCCTCGGGTAGAGCGTTTTTTGGAAGGGTCGGCCTTGTTTGAGGCGGACAAGGCTCTGCGTGGAGGCCAAGGCAACGCATTCTACTACATGCCGTTCAGCGCCGGACCAAAGAACTGCATTGGGATGCGGTTCGCCATGGCTGAGCTCCAAGTCGTCGTGGCCGCGCTGCTCACTCGACATTCGTTCCGGCTCACGAACAACGCCAACGTCTTGCCGACGATGGTAGGGGTGACGATGCGGCCGAGACACTTGGATATGACGGTGCACGTCGTCGATTGAACTGCGCCCACATTTGAAGATGGCGAACACGGCTGCACGAGATGTTGTATCGGTCGGTAGTGTTGTGTACGACAAGAGGGAGCGATGGGAGTTTATCTTGCAGCAATACACCCTTCGATTTTCACGCACGTGGGAGGTGCCCTCGAGCCGGCACAAGGCTCCAAGGGCTCCTCCTCGCGTCCGCACACGCTCCAAGAGGAGACCACAAACCCCGCCACCCTTCTGCGCTGCAAAACACGACCGCTTCGACACGTTGACGTGGTGTACGCACACCCCGTTTCGCGGGAGAAGGCGCGTCGTCGTAGAAGCGCTTGCTGCAGAAATTGACGTCATGTGGACCACCAGAGCAGTTGGGCGGCGGTGGTTGTTGCAGCGATTCGGACTGCATCCAGAACGGTCATGGAACCAGTTGCACGGGCATGTGTGGTTGCAATTGAGTTGCTCTGCGTGATGACACCTCGGCGGAAGGATCGTGCTCACGACAGATCCCCGCACATGTCGAAGACGACAACGGCTGGATGGGTTGCGACGTTTGAAGGACGGGGCGGCCCATGAACCAGACTGGATGGCTAGTCCGATGAGCACAACAATGGTTCCAAGCACGACGGGGTCTCCGAGATGGCTGCGGTTACCTGGCGACTTGGTCCCGTACATCGTCGCCGATGATGTCCAAGCGGGGACGATCCGCAAAGCCAAAGCCGACGTGACGGCGAGTAGCTGGCACACAACTTGTGATTGCCAAGAGCAACAAGGTACGACTGAGAGTCCGATGGCCGAGAGCGCCCCCCCCTCAGCAAGTGCAATGCGCCCTTGGCAACCGTTGTGGTGGGCTGTAAATGAAGAAATGAGCACCCTCTGCCACGTGCTCATTTCTTTCTAGCTTGTCATAATCGCTGGTCCAACAGCGACGTGATTCCAGCGAGTTCGTGCATGCTCTGCGAAACCTTTTTGCAAGGACGAAACTCGCCTCCCACGGTGTTTCTCCGCACGCCTTCATCCTCCACCGTGTGCTGCATATTCGCATTGTTGCAAGTGCATGGTTCTTTTTCAAACGTCGATTCCTTGTACAAAACGGCCAAGTGTCGACGACTCAAGTGCCGATCAAGATGGCTTCAATCGACGCTGCCCGCGCCCATGGTCAGCATCGCCCCCTTGAACTCGTGAGTCTACGCGAGTCACTTCTTCGCCGCGCAACCGTCGGTGCCTTCCACCAGAGTCCGCCTTGCTCGAGCCACTTCTCCGTCACGATGCCATCATGTTGTACTGCACCTTGCCTGGGCTCTGCAACCCCTCCCTCCCATCCAAGCCAAGAAAAGTGGCAGGCACTGAGTCCCACAACCACCCCCACTTGAATACGCTTTTCACATCGGCTGTGCACCAAGTATTCCCCACTAGCATTCGCATCGCTTATGGGGGAGGAGCGTGCCCGGCACGTACGTCAATACGTGGCGAGGTCCCAGAGAATCTCTCGCACTGTCCCCGGCAAAGTACCGCGGTGCGTACCAGACGCTTCGAAAGCCCACGCACTGATGTCATGGCTGCGATTGTATACACGAAGAGTGGATTCCACTGTTAAGTTATTAGAAGCAGCACCAGCAGTCGAAGGGGCAGTCGGCTGTGTCGCCGCCTTGATTCAGCCGCAGCGACTCCTCCGTGTAGATGGGTAAACCGTCTGCGTCGTACCGCACTGCAAATCAAGGTGATGAGCATGGAGCTACCCATCGCAGCAAAGCACCTACCCGGTCGAGGGTCAAATGTATCGTTGTTCTTTTGCTTGTCTACAAAGCGGTGAGAGATACGAGTGGGAGTAGACATTGCCTACGTTCGGCTTCGAGGGCTTCCAAGTGCTTGCGGTACGCGAGCTTCTCGGCGCGTTCCTTGGCCTCCTGCCTTTGGACGGCCTTGTCTTTGTCGACCTTTTGCTGCTTCTTGGCCTTGATGCTGGAGAAGAGGGCGTCGAGGTCGTTTTTGGCGCTTTGTTTATCCGTTTGCTTCCCTGCAGCTGGGACAGAAACAGCGATTTGCTTCGGTGCGTCTATCGTGTTGGTTTCAATTGAGATATGCATCGTGACATCGCGACGGACACACCTTTGGGAACTTTGCCCGCGGCTTTCTTGGCCGAGAACAGTGTGTCGAGGCTTGCTTTGGCCGTTGATTTCGAAGCGTTGGAGCTCGCCTTGCCTGCGCGAGTAGATGAGAGAGCATGTTCAGTGAGATTACCACACTATGGCCATGTCCCATGAGCTCATTTACCTGTCGCTGCCGTCGTCCCCTTGGACTTGCCCATGCCGCCGCGGTTTGGTGGATTCAAAGTTCTGTCACGAGCCAATGAAAACCGCGGGTGACCGTGTAGCGTTTGATTGGTGGATGCAATTTTTGGCCAGGTAGTCATTTGATTGGTGAAGGGTTGTCATGATTACATTTGATTGGTTGAAACTCAATCCCCATCCGACGAAGCAGTGGCTTGGACACGAGCCAAAACCAGACGACCAACACGATGGCGACGACGCAAATGTTCGAGGACATCTTCGAGATCAAGCAGCTCAACCCGGAAGGCAAGAAGTTTGAGCGCGGTACGTCCCTTTGATGTGATTCGCACGTGCGTGCATGCACGCTTGGTTGTCCACGCGGACTGCGATCGGTGCTTGCTACTTACGGCTCGGCTGGACGTAGTCACGCGCCTCATGTGCAAGGGTGTGTCGTACGAACTTGAACTCATGCTCGACATCAACTCGGAAGTGTTCCCGATGAAGGTGCATGAACAGTTTACGTTTGCCCTCGTGAGCACCCTCGATTTGGAAGGGAAGCCAGATGACGGCATCTTTGACCAAACCGGCAAGCCCACGCTTCTGGACCGATACGACTACGGCATGTACGGCAAGGTGTTTCAGTACGACCACGAAGGCGGCAACATGGTTGCAATCTATGCTAGTTTTGGCGGGCTCCTCATGTGCTTGCGAGGCGACCAAGCGCATTTGCGCAACATCCACAATGGCTCCCGCGTATATTGCCTCATGCGCCGCCAGTAAACCTTTCGTCCACTACAAAGGACGACTCTAATGCTGCTATGTACTACCCCCATCCTATTCCGATTCAATGCCCGTGGCACCATGTGCTAGGCACAAGTAGAAAGCGTGGCTCTCTCCACGACGTCTCACTTCTCACGTGGTTAAATAGCATTGCGCCAACCATACACGGGCTTCGTCATCGCAGTTGTCTTGGGCACGGGTCGTGCATCACGAGTGTGGCAAGATTGTCGACAGGTCAAACTCCATTTCTTGTTTGTACATCGATGAGGCTGCGTCAATAGACTAGAAGGCACGATCATCTTGATCGAGTTTGTCACGTAATGAGGTTGACAATTGAGCGGGCAACGAGAACCCACCACGGCCTTGTAGACAAATTTTGCACATGCAGTTTGCACAGAGCGTATCGGCGTTGATGGCATGGCCGGTAGGGTGGGTTAGCAATGGACTTTCGTGAAGAATCCATGGCAAGGACCATGTATTGTGCGCTTCTGCGTTGAGACCTCACGATTCTAATGGGAATCGTGTTGAGGGGACATACTTGAGATTGACTTTGGCGCGGTCTTGGTTGACCATGCATGCAACAACTTTTTCTGCTCGCCATGCCGTGCATTCAACTGTTCATCGTCGTCAAGAGGCCGAGGCAGGACCTTTTCGAGCTGACGAGTCTGTTTCGGGGCATACGCTTCCCTGGCCGCCGTCCCTTCTATAACTCACGCTTCTTTCCCTCGCACCGCGATGCACATGCGCCGATCGCATCTCCATCAATTGACGAGGCACCTGCTATCCTGATTGGCTCGTATCCAACTATTCGTGCATTCTAATTGGTCGAATTGGATCTTGAAACCAGAACACGGAGTACACACACAGGTCACCATTGCTCCACGGAGTTGCGACTTGTCAGGTCGCGGCGCCCCCCCCCCGACAACGCGGCTTCGCGTGCCTGACTCCAAGGAGAGTGGGTCGTTACGCGAACTCGGTCTCACAGCGTTGATGGGCATGATGACGTGTCGCCCGCAGGCAGGACTGTGGCAAGCTCCCATGCTGAGCACACATGCTGTGATCTTCCATACGTCAAGTGTATCCATGAGCGGCAGCTACGGATGGGCATTCACAACAATAACAAACTCGTCAACCTGTGCGCCGTCGATGGCTAGCATACGAGGTCGGCAACGTGCATCGCGCGGTGGGTTGCTGCAATTCAGCAAAACGTCGTCGTTTTTCGCGTTTTGGGTGCATTTTCTGAATGTTGAAACTCAGGTCACGATATAAAAAAATGACTTTAGTTTTGTATGTAATATATACAAACGGCGTCGAAGTAAACGGCAAACTACGGTGTGGGGCGGTTGAGTTCCTCGTATTTCTCGATTGACACCAGGATGGGCAAGAAGGCTGGTGGGAAGACGGCGGTGACGACCGCCGTGGCAGTGGACGAGTTCCCGGATGAGCCCGTCGCGCTGCTTCACTTTGACGAGAAGGAAGATCGTCTCCAAGTGAACGAGCAGGCGATGAACATTCTCCAACGCATTGAAGGCAAGATTGCCGTTATTGCGATGGCGGGGCTGTACCGCACGGGCAAGTCGTCCATGTTGAATTGGCTCCTCGGAAAGCAGAGTGGATTCCGTGTCGGCCCGACTGTTGAGCGATGCACGCGCGGCATTTGGCTCTGGGGACGACCCCAGCAACACACGTTGGCGAACGGTGAGCCGTGCTGGGTGCTCATGCTTGACACTGAAGGTTTGGGTGGGCTGGAAGCGTCTGCGCAGTACGACGTGCGCATCTTTTCCCTGGCGACACTCCTTTGCTCCAAGCTAATTTACAACAGTCAAGGAAGCGTGGACGAGAAAGCCGTCAACGGTCTGTCGTTCATTGCAAACATGACCAAGCACATCCGCGTCCGCGCCGAGGAAAGCGACGACCAAGGCGGCAGCAACGGCGAAGAATACTCAAGTTTCTTTCCGTCGTTTACGTGGCTTGTGCGCGACTTCACGCTCGAACTTGTGGACGAGGACGGCGACGAAATCACGCCAACCGAGTACCTCGAACGCGCCCTGGCGCCGCAACCTGGCCTCACGCAAGCTGTCATGGAACGTAACCGTGTCCGCCACATGATGACGGCGTTCTTCAAGGACCGGGACTGCTTCACACTGGTGCGACCGGTGTATGACGAAGGCATGTTGCAGCAAGTGGACTCGATTCCGATCACCGACCTGCGCCCCGAATTCCAGTCGCAACTTGCCAAGTTGAAGGCCTCGATATTCAACCATCTTCAGCCCAAGACCATGAACAACAAGCCGCTAAACGGTTCCATGTTCGCCGGCCTCCTCGTTGCGTACGTGGAAGCGATCAACCACGGCAGCGTGCCCACGATCAGCTCTGCTTGGGACGGTGTGACCGCCACGGAATGCAAAAAGGCAATGAAGACTGCCGCCGAGTCGTTTCGAGTGGCGTCAGGGCTCTTGGAATTCCCTCTCGACGCGGACGAGCTGACGGCGGCGCTCAAAACCGCGGAAGCCGATGCCATTGCCGTGTACCGCCAGGCGGCGATGGGCGAGGCCTCTGCAAAGTACGAAGCGGAATTAGCGGAGAAAATCGAAGACGAAAAGACGACGCTGAAAAAGCAAAACCGCGCGGCGTCCAAGGAGTTCTGCGATCGGTTGCTCCAGACGTTGTTCGCGGAGCTCATCCAGCCGCGCTTCTCGGACGACAAGAATGCGTACGAGGACATGCAAGAGTTTGCGCGGGAGTGGCTCAAATTCCGCGAAGCGTACCTCGAGAAAGCGCGCGGCGGGGCCAAATTAGACGCGCTCCTTGCCTTCTCCGAGACCAAGCATGCGGAAGCCATGCGATTGCTCCTCAGTCGACAAGAGGACAAGTTTGAGAAGAAGCTACGCGCGTTGGAAGCCGAAGCCGCAGCGGTCAAGGAAACGCTGGGCGCGATTGGTGGCCGTGAACAAGTGTACAAGCAACAGATCGAGGCATTGCAGTCCGAGACGTCCGACATGATGGGCGAGAAAGCGCGGTATTCTGCGGACATTGAAGCGCAGCAAAAGATGATTGAGCACTTACAAGCCAAGTTGCAAGCGGAAACGGCGGGCAAGCAGCACATGGACTTGGAGAAGGAGCAAATCGAACTCAAGCTCCACGCGTTGCGCGACCAAGATCGTGAAAAGGAGGACGAACTCTCGCGGCTCAAAGCTCAGTACGAGAAACTCGTCAAGGAAAAGGAGCGCACCGAGTTGGAGCTGAGCATGGCGTCGGGTGAGGTCGACTCGCTCAAGCACGGACAAAAGTGTGGGTGCTCGATTCAATAAGCGATCAGTAATGCAATTTTGTTGGAGCGTCCGTTTTCATTGCTGTGTATTGTCGTCGTATAAGAGAAAGTAATCTACTTAGCTGGGGGGAACGCGAGAGACCAGCGGAGACACGTAGGGCTTGAGCTTGAACCCCGTCAAGTCTGGCACTTGGAGGTCGAGCAGCTTGTCGAAGTCGACCTTGTACCCGCCCAACTTTGCGTGAACACCTTCATTGCGGCAGCCCTTACCCTTGTAGAATCGCTTGTTCGCGCGCTTTGACGTCAACGGGCGGAGGCCGTGGCTCTTGCCAAACTTGCTTGCTCGCAGCACCAACCCATCGAGGAACCCCATGACGTCGACCGTGAACTGTAAATGACCGCGATGTGCACCATTCAAGGACACCGTTATAAGTACGATCCCAAGAAGTACGATATTCTATCTTCGCACCTTGTATCCTTCAATAGTAGCAGTAGTAGTAGTATTAGTAGTAGTAGAAGTAGTAGTAGCTCACCGACCCAATGGAAGAAACTGACGCCGGCACTCGACAGCTTAGCTCTTCTGGTCACGTCCCTTGCCTCCTTGAGACCAGAGGTCGTCAACAATATATTGACGTATCAATTATTAACAATACTACTGAGGGCATACTGTATTGGCCGCGAAGAACAATATCACTACTATTAGGCCTTTGAGTCAAAAACACAATGGCTGATCGCAAACCCCAGCATAAAGGAAATACCTTTTGATACACGAATAAATCGATCAAATATAGACAGATGGGGGTAAGTCAAAATGTTTACCACAAAGATCGATTCCCCTCGAATATATCGAGATAAACTGGAAGTGATCAACAATGTGATCATTACTCATGGTAAACATGCAAATACTCAAATATAGAGGGATAAACGTGTCTCAGCCAACCAACCAAACAAGGTGTCCACTTCCATTGCTTTAAGAATACACACAAATCAATCTGCTTTATGGTGCGCACCAACTTCACTTCCTTGCTTGAGCGACTAAACGCTCAGAACGCATCCGGCCGTCTCTTCCTTGAAGAGAGCCTCACTGAGTTCGGTCGTGAGATCGACGAAGCCGAGAAGGGAACCGACTACCCACACCAAATAATGGACAAAGCCATTGAAGACAGCGGTGACGAGGGATTTCGCGTTTTAACCAACTTCAGTCCTAATGAATTTGAAACCATTTGGTCCGTTATCGAAACATCCTTGTCATCGCGGTGGAACGACGGCCGGGGCAGAAAGTCCAACACAACGCCCAAAGATGCCTCCTTTGTCATCTTGTCGTCTTGAAGCACTACATGTCGTGGGAGAAGCACGCAGTCGACTTTGGCACTAAAGTACCTACGATGGAGAAGATGGTCATGCGCGTCATCCACATGGTCCAACCTGTCTTGTACGAGCATTTCGTAACCATGCCAAAGATGACGGAACTTCGCGACAAAGGTTGTGTGTTCCGTTCGTACCCGTACGCGAAGTATGCTACTGACTTGAAGTTCCAGCCATCAAACCGTCCGTTATGAAAATTTGGTGAAAAAAGCACTACTTTAGCGGTAAGCACAAATTGTACAGCCTTAAGATCGAGGCGTCGGTCTCACCTGAAGGCCTTTTGGTCGACATGAGTTCTCACGAACCGGGGTCTGTATCGGACATCACGATGTTTCGCGATCGCCTTAATGTCCAATTTACAGCCCTACAAAAGTCAGGGAATGAGTCACTGATCAATGACAACGGGGAACTGTTCCAAGACTTCCCTTCGTCGTGGGCTGTGCTGGTTGACAAGGGTTATTGTGGCCTAACATCGTCCACCCGAGCAATCCACCCCAAGAAGCGACCAACAAACGGCACCCTCGACCGTGCTGACCTCGACCGCAACGCCAACATCTCCTGCAACCGAGTTATCGTGGAGAACTTTTTTGGACGTGTTTGCCTTCTCTGGAAAATTTCCTACGCAACGTACGTTTGGTCAACGTCACCTTTTCTTTGACCAACTTCCATCTTGTGCTGATGCCACTACGTCAAGATGATTAGCATCAGTACCGCGCTGTGTTGGCTCGTTACGGTCGCTTGGTCGAAGAGAACAACACCAAGCGCGCTGCTGTTCAACGTCGTTACGCAGTCTTTGCAACCCACCATACAAGAGAGATCATCCTCACTTTGGAAATCCTTGCGTCTTTGATGACGTGCTCTATTGAGCAGTAATTTTATTGACGTTATTGGTCAATGTATTAAACCTCGAACTCAGAATCGTAATGACTGGCGAAAATAAAACGTGTTTACAATCCACGAAAGATTTATGAAGAATGTTCTTAGATTGAATATGTCGTCGTATTTCCTCAAACAGGTTTGACCTTTTCGAATAATTGCCAATCATTTCCGAATGCGTCGAAACGATTTCCTAAAGTCAAAAAGGATAAATCCTTATTTATGAACTGTTTGAATGACTATATGAGGAGATTCGTTAACAAAAGGTGACCATTATTTAATATTTAGGAGAAGTTGATAAAACCTAAGTACTGCAAAAATTCTTCAAAGAAAGTACATTTGCTTAATCGTGCAAATTACCCAAAAAAGAGCAAACTACTGCCGTTATCGGTTCCACTGTTCGAACTCAAATCAGAATCACTGTCATTCATACTGGCAGTGAGAGAGACTTCAGTTGCCACCATGAGTGTAAGCCTAGACTTCCGCTTTGTCCTGTAAGCACGCGCGGATATCTTCTTCGCTCTATCTCGCTTAGAACCAATGGAGGCCAATCGATTAATGAACTGAGCGTATACTTCACCGTCGTCAGATCGCAGCGGGTGCAGTCGAACATGAGCATTCGTAAACGCCAAGAAAGATTGAAACAACAATTCATAGTTGGGGCGGGACCAACGATAAGTCTCATCGCATACGCACCACAGAGTCTTCATTCTGCCAAAGTAGTTCTCCACAATGACACAATCGCTAGAGATGCGATCGTTAGAGCGTTGTCGTCGAGAGTGAGGATGCCTCCTGATGGCTTCTTCTTCGGCAAGACCGCTCGCACCTTGTTCTGGATATTTGGTATCCCTTGTCGGCCATGACGGCCCACTGGATTGCATTGAGATCACCACAGTCAGCTATGCGGTTCTCATGGGGTTGCTTGACCAGAGCCGAAACATGAAACTCGAGGTTGCCGTCAAATATGGCCTTGTCCGACACGCTGCCCTTGATGTGTCGTGTACAGTTGATGGCCATGCCATTTGGCAGGACGGATACTTCGACTTTGTGACCATAGTGGTAGTGCTTCCCGCTGAAGTTCATCTTCTTCTCATTGTAAATGCCAGCCGGAATACATGTTTCTTGGAAATTAACATCCGTAGCGTAGCGTGCATAAGTGAAGTTGGAAAACTGGTGACCGCTTGTGGCTAGTAGCGCCATTGAGTACTTGTCGTTGGGAGACGTCACAAACCGACGCAGCAGAAAGGGGTGAATCATCTTGGCGAAGTTCATTGTCCGCTTCTGGAATGACGGAGAGGGCTGTTTGAAGATGACAGCCACCACATCCCACCAGCCACAATGCTTGGCCGTCAGGAACATCAGCAGAAGGTCACGGCTTGAAACGTCAACCTTGCGACCTGACCCAACGTTCCAGTGTTTGGCAATGTATCCACGTAGTTCCGCCCAGAGAGAGTTGAACTCGGTGGGACTGAAATTCGTCAAGGTGTGAATGCCTTCAGCCCCCTGGGTATCCAGGAAGGCATCGTAGACAGGGCTTGATGACTCCGGATCAAGATCAGTTTCTTCTGGCCGGACAGTTGGATAGCGCGCACGCTTTGCGTGGCGTTGTTGTTCAAGGTTTTGTAGCAAGGCAACAGCTTGGTTGATGCTTCGCGATGTATGCTGGGTGGGCTGAGTACTCTGTTGGCTAGCTCTACGAGCCATTGATCCTTTTTGTAAATGGTTGCATGTAATTTCATCGTATTTTATGGTTGGCTGTAGGCTAGTACGATTGTCAACCAACGGTTTGAGTGTGCTTGTATGCGTAATATGTGATTTCGTTGCTATTTTCTGAGAAGTCTGATTGTTTTCGTAAAGGACCCAACGATTTCCGAAAACAAACGACAGCTGTGAGATCTGCATTTTCTCACGAGAAGATCAGGATATTATTCAGGTTTCTCATCTTTCAAAAGTGCAACCGTTGAAAATCAAAAATAAACGTTTTGACCAGTCATGGGAATCCCTCCGAGATCACATATCCGTTTAACGAAAAAATTCAGACACTCGCCGAAATGTCAATCTTTGATCTGGAGGTCTATTGAACAATAAACAAGCAATATATCACGACCAGACGCCCCACACACTTACAAATACGGTCACAACGCGGCCAAAGGTACGGCGCAAATATGCAGCGGCCGTGCTGCTTCAAGTTCCTCTACAATCACAGGGTACAGAGCTATATTGATCGATCATTTTGGGTTAGTCTCCACGCGATGACTCGCTGCGCTCTTAGCTCACTGTGTTTGAGGTTGCGCTTCTCTTCTGCTCCGCGCACATACTTCACACAAACTTCACACGCACACTTCATCTTTCAATCCTGACGAACTAAGACTACGCCATGTTCTACTTCAAGCCTCATGCCACTGAACCACACGTTTGGGAGCGCCGCTGCAACAAGGTAGGCAAATGCAATGTACGCTGCGGCTACAAGAACTTACTTTCCCACCTTTGCGACCCCCGTACCCAATGATGTACGAGGCTGGTAACGCTACATCGAGTACATCTACCCTTGACTACATGATCGACAAAAAACCGTTCTTTGTCTTCCGCCGGATTGAGTGGATTTGCATGGACGAAATCGTACTTGTCTTTGTTGGCAAGACTTTGACCAGACAGTACTGCAACCTTGACCCATATCTGTCAACGCCTTCAAAAAGCATGCAAGCGCACTAGTTCGTTGTGAAGAGTTACGCGTGGCATCTTTTTGAGAACATACCATTTGACGTCGTCTTCGATAGCTGGACGGAGACTCGCACCATTTCGTTCGCCTACTTGCCACTATACCTACCCCTAAGTCTTACGACACGGTGCTTCTCTCGTTTGCTCCACTCCTGGACGAGATGTCAATGACTGATGAAAACCACTAGAAGTTCATTTTGACGTCCCTATGACTACAAGCTGGATCATACCACATTCAAAACGAACCTGGTTGCCTTGATCGGAAGTAACTGCTCGTAGTCTTGGTAAGACTCACCCTTGTTGGTTGCAGCAGTCGCAAACTGAAACTGAACCTGGGGGTTGAGAAGTTCCTAAAAGACAGTCTTGGAAATGAGCTTGACAATGTCAATGAAACCTTGACGAAGCTTCAGAAGGTCAAGATGTCAGGACAATCTTTTTTAACAAAATAAAATGTTCGTAACATTGCCTCGCAACAATGTTTCGTCCAGTGCAACGCAATGACACACGTTGGACAGCAGCAGCAACGATCTCAATCGATTTGTCAAGTTCATGAGCCAAGATGACATTGGCCACACTGATCCAACATTTAAAGCACTCATGCCAACTCACCTGGTGCTTCTGCGAATCGACGGGTGTATGGTGAAG